TTGACTTGTACACATGATTTTCAGTCACTTGTTTAGAATTTAGCTTATATACTCAAAGTATGGACATACCAGAAGTCAACTTCCAAATATCGTCCCATTCGTATCCTTTGTGCTACCATAGAAACCCTCCATTGGTCCATCATGTTGTAAGATTTCAGATATGGGTAAGTGGCTCTAAAGATACTGGCATACCTGCAGGCTTTATGGACATGCCCTTATGAAACCAGAGAGGTCAGAGACAAAAAGAGCAAAGGGAGTAATTGTCAAGAAGGGTAATTAGAGAAAGACTGAGGCTACAAGCCAAGACAGGAGTCTTTTATTCTGGATTAAATGAAAATTGTTGTAAAAATATTAAACAGAACTTGGGCCTAGGGCTTCACATGGATGGGGATAAGGGACACAAACATTAAAGAAGTGAATATCAGAAAAGAGTTCCCTTGAATACTCCTAACTTCTGGGAGCAAAATATTTTCCGAAGGACCCAAGACTCAGGGGGGCTGTTAGTTTGTAGGTTCCTGCAAGTGGTAGGACCGAGGTGGAAAAACCTGGCTCAGTGTCATCTACCAAATGGCAGACATTCAATAGTGACATTACTCTGACCACAGATCAGGTAGGCTATGGCCTCTCTCCACCTTCCAGACCATTTTATCCACGCCTGCCCCGTGTAAACCTAAATAATTGAAAAGCAATGCTGAGATTTTCAAAGGTCTCCACCCAGTTCAGTGCATGTACTTTGCTTTCTATTCTCCGCCCCCCCCACCCCAACACACACACCTAGAATTTCCCCTCCTGCACCTCTGTCTTCCTCTGTCCTTGGTTAGGTCTCTCTGGTCTCTTGTTCTCTCCTCTTCTCATGCCAACCATGGAACAAACTGGATGCCTTCTGTTCTGTGTCCTACACCCTTGCTGTGATTTTTTAAATGAAATATATTTCAGGAACCCTACTCACAAGCACATAATTGACAAAAGAAGCTGGGCCCTCCCCAACACAGTACAAGCCTTTCATTCTTTCTCAGTTTGCTCTTTTTCCACTTCTACTCCACCATTGCCCCCTCCTGCTTCACTGGAAGATCTCAACAGTGAATGCCTTAGACTTTGTCCTTCTATTTCTTTCTGCTGTCTTCTTGGGGAACAGAAAGGTCATTCCTAAGGTATATCTCAGAGGCATGTGGATGGCTCAGTCAGTTAAGCCTCTCTTAATTTGCCCTCAGGTCATGATCTCAGGGTTTCTGAGTTTGAGCCCCATATAGGGCTCTGCACTGACCATTCAGAGCCTGCTTGGGATTCTCTTTTCCCCCTCCTCCTGCTCTCGTGCATGCTCTCAAAAATACTTTAAAAAGTGATCACATCTTAGTTACTATACTTAGAAGAATCTCTTAGAGGATTATCTTATCTCCTAAATCAGGGTCTCATTGGCTCTTATTTGTAAAATCTTTTGTACTACTGTTTAATAAAATCTCATATTTCTCAGCTTCAACTTGAAAGTTGGGAGATCTTATCTTTTGTGCTTAGAAGTTTCTGATGCTTATAGCCTTCAATTACAATCTTTTCAATGATCTTTCCATCCTCAATGATTGTGTGATGATCTACGACTTTAAGAAAGAGAAGAGATTCCTCAATGATAGTTATGACACTCTTTGTAAACACAAAAAGGGCAGCCTTTTAGTTTGAGTCCAAGGCTCAACAGATCTGGCTTCTCCATAAATGTCTGTCCTTCTTGTTTTGTATATAAACTGTTGGCTGTTTTTTAAAAGCCTAAGTAAAGATGTAGAACACTTGAGAAGCTTCTGAAACACTCTTAGACTATTATTAGTTTTCTATCTTATAAGGCTTCTGGGAATAACTCTTTGTTCCGTCACTGCCCTGTACTTGTGGGTATTTCATCACAGAACAGTGGTCAAATGTATGGGCTTTGGTGAAAGATAGCTTAGTTTAAATCACAGTTTCTACGGTGTGACTATGGATGAGTTACTTAACCCTTCTGCCTTTGTTTCACCATTTGAAAAATAGGTACACAATTGTCAATCACAGAAAAATGTTAAGAATTGAAGTTCAAGATAATTGTTTTCAGGTATGTATGCATAGTACTGACTATATAAGAAATAGATATTATTGCTATTATGTTATTATATGGCTGTGTACTTTGCATTTCCAACTACATTGTAAATCCCCTGAAGTCAGGTATTTACACTAATCAAATACAACATAAATTTATACCAAATGTTTGAGGCAAGCCACTTAAAGGTATGAAAAGAATATGCTCCATATCTTTAAGGCATTCATAATTGGTGGTAAAGAATCAATAAATATTAACATGTTCTTGGGTTGTAGAGGTATTATTTTCCTTCATTAAATCTAGTTTCATGCATTACATATAATTTGAATACATATAAATTATTCCTACTAGTTCTGAATTAAAATATAACAAATATAAACATGTAGTTAGATATGCTAATGCAAATGCAGTATTGACAACATTTACATTTTGTATGTAATTTTTAAAAAGTCTGTGGTGCACTTAGGACAACTCTCCTCCAAAATCCTAGTCCAGTATTTAATGGTATTTGGACTAACTGTACATTATGAGCTTAACGCATTTGACACAGACTTTAAGTGAGGTTACATACTGCTTATGTTGAAATTAAAAATGCAAAGGAGTTCGGATCTATTGAGTACCAATGGAATTCTTAATGGTTTGGTTTTTTTTGCTTCTCTCAATAGAATATCATCCCAATTAATGCCATCCTAATCAAACTAAGATGAAAATGTTTGATGTTAAGCCTCAGAATTAGAGAATCGTATAATTTGGAGACTGGAGTAAAAAACTAAAAGACAAATTGACCCCCCTGATTTCATAGATGAGAAAACTGAGGCCTGAAACATTCCTTTCAATTAAGACTGTTTTCAAAACAACATTCATGCCCCTCAAGTTATTTACTCTAGTTTTATCATTTATTTTCATGCTGTTCAACTCAAAAGACCTGATGGTCCTTTGGAGGAACACATACTCAGAAAGGCCCCTCTGAGTCTTGGGGGGAGGGGGGGGAGAGCGAATTTCCCTTTGTGGTATCAGACCCAGGGGCTAGTGGTTTTCCTTTGGGTATTTTTTAAGACAACACTATCATGTAACATCTGGGACCAGAGAGAGATCTTTATGGTATATATTTTATAGATCTTTTCTTCTTAGATTTTCTTTTTCCTCTAATTAGTAAATGACCAAGAAGTGCTAGATTCCTGTGTGAGCCCCTTTAAACATATGCTTGAAACATTAGTAATTCATTTTCCAGTTACACTTAAATACAATTTGGAAGTGCGCTGTTTAAAACTTTGATACACTCAAGCCATGAAAACGAGTTTTTCAAGAGGTGTGATACTTAAGGAAGTCCCAACCTACATTGCCAAGGTATTTACAAGGGCTCATTGTGACTAATCACTTTAACCTAAAGGAATAGGATTGGTCATAAAACCCCCAAATCATACCTTAATTACTTGGGAGTTGTAATGGACCTTTACCTCTATCTCTATAAAGCTGTACTTAACATATTTATTTCTAAAATAATAAAGCGCTGCCTCTGATCTTTAAAAATACTGGACGGGGGTGGGGGTGGAATTTGGGGAGCTGGTGTTGCCCGTCGGTGGTAGGAATCAAGGTAAAAAGTGCGAAGCAATATGAAATACTGATACTCTGCTTATAAGGTCCTTTTAGAAATTAAGTTACTAATAACCTCAGTTGATTCCAACTGGGTTAATTTAAAAATATTGAAATAGAAGCTAAGAAGCAGACTAGAAGGACAGAAAGACTCTCCCTGCCCCCCTCCCAACCCTCCCTCCTTCGAAAGCTCTCACTCTCTCGGAGTAGCAGGTTCCAGCAAGTGCCTGGAATCTAGTCTCTTTGAGGAGAGGAGCACTACCACAGCAGGGCGTTCCCAGCTGGGGACTGAGGGCTGCTAGGAACCTGCAGACACCTGGCATGGTTCTTCAGGGCTCTAGAGACTTCTGTCTGGGGCTGTACGCAAAGGCTGCGAGCAGTCAGAAGGGTTTCCTGTGTGTCAGCAACTTCACTTTGCCGGATAGCTGGCGGAAGAGCGAGGGAGCACTCCCGGGCCAATCGCTCCCCAGCAGCCAGTTGGACCCGTGCGCCCCCTCGCCGCCTCTGGTAGCTGCGGAGGGGGAGAGGCTGAGCACGGTCGCTCGGTCACCGTGAAGATCTCCACAGAAGCCTCTTCTGACTCCAGGCGGACGCCCGGGAAAGCGCTGGCTAACCACGGGTCTGGCTCCGCCAGGCACGCCCCTAGCCTCCCGGGAGCGGTCTCACCCGGGTGCCCAAACTCCGCCCACCCTCGCAGGGAGCCCGCCTGCCCCCTGCACTCACCCGAGCGGGGCCTTGAGGAGGGGCCGCGCGCTGCACGGAGGCTGAACACAACACAGAAGCGCACGGGTGTGCGGTGACGCGCGCGCTCCGATGGCCCCCAGAGGCTGAGCACTGGGGGCCGTGGAGGAACCGGCGCGGGGCCCTGAAATGAGCTGCTTGATCGCAAGGTAGGGAGAAAAGAAGATGCCCAACCCAACTTGATCTTTGGGGACAGCAAGCTGGGGAGTGCCTTTGTCCCCCACTGAGTGCGGCACTGCGAGTTTGACTCGACCTCGGGCACACGCGCTCTGAGCTCTCCGGTGCGGACTCGCGGCCCCTCGGGAAAGCTCAGTCGGAAAGTTGTCGGTGCCCCGTGCGCCCTATTGCATAACCTCAGCACGGTGGCCAGGCGGGGAAGTTGGTGGCCCGGCCGCCACCCCAGCTTGGTCTCGGCGGCGGGGTGGATTTCATGGCCCGCAGGGCCGGAGCCGGCGTGGGCGAGCCCGCGTGTGCCCCCTCCGGTGGGGATCCCGCGCACCCGCTGTCTTCGGCTCACGCGCTGTTCCGATGCTCCGTGCGCCCTTGGCCGCTGCCGCCCTCTCACCGCTGCTTGCCCCTAGGAGCCGCCGCGTGAGTCTGGGAAGAGAGAATGACCGAGGGGCCGTGGCCGGCTGTCCCCAACGGGACGGACGCTACCTTCCTGGCTGGCCCGGGCTGGCCCTGGGGGAACAGCACGGCAGCCTCCACGGCTGCGGTGGCGGCAGCCTCCTTCGCCTGCTCGCTGACCAAGACGGGCTTCCAGTTCTACTACCTGCCGGCTGTCTACATCTTGGTGTTCATTATCGGCTTCCTGGGCAACAGCGTGGCCATCTGGATGTTCGTCTTCCACATGAAGCCGTGGAGCGGCATCTCCGTGTACATGTTCAACTTGGCCCTGGCCGACTTCTTGTACGTTCTGACGCTGCCCGCGCTCATCTTCTACTACTTCAACAAGACAGACTGGATCTTTGGGGACGCCATGTGTAAGCTGCAGAGGTTCATCTTCCATGTGAACCTCTACGGCAGCATCCTGTTCCTAACCTGCATCAGCGCGCACCGGTACAGCGGCGTGGTGTACCCCCTCAAGTCTCTGGGCAGGCTCAAGAAGAAGAACGCGGTCTACATCAGCGTGCTGGTGTGGCTCATCGTGGTGGTGGGGATCTCGCCCATCCTCTTCTACTCGGGTACCCAGGTCCGGAAAAACAAAACCATCACCTGCTACGACACCACCTCAGACGAGTACCTGCGAAGTTATTTTATCTACAGCATGTGCACGACCGTGGCCATGTTCTGTGTCCCCTTGGTGCTAATTCTGGGCTGTTACGGATTGATTGTGAGAGCTCTGATCTACAACGACCTGGACAACTCGCCGCTGAGGAGGAAATCCATTTACTTGGTGATTATTGTACTGACTGTTTTCGCTGTCTCTTACATCCCTTTCCATGTGATGAAAACAATGAATTTGCGGGCCCGGCTGGATTTTCAGACACCAGAAATGTGTGCTTTCAATGACAGGGTTTATGCCACTTACCAGGTGACACGAGGTCTAGCAAGTCTCAACAGTTGTGTGGACCCCATTCTCTATTTCTTGGCAGGAGATACTTTCAGAAGGAGACTGTCCCGGGCCACCAGGAAGGCTTCCAGAAGAAGTGAGGCTAACTTGCAATCCAAGAGTGAAGACATGACCCTCAATATTTTATCTGAGTTCAAACAGAATGGAGATACAAGCTTGTGAAGATACAAGAATCACCGAAAATCCACTTTTGTAACATGGTAGGACGCTTAATACAGCCAAATGCTTTCTTCCTTCCCCTTTAAGTGTCTAGTAAGTTGAGAGAAAAATCAGTCCAAGAGACTAGGAAGTTAAAAAACCAAGAAAAACAAGAGAAACACCCACCCCCACACTTAGCATGTTGGGGGTTCACTTTCAAGGCCTCCGTTTCTAACTAAAAGTATGTAAAATAAAATTATACTATCCTAGTTAAACATTTACTTTCTCATCTGCCCTTAGAATTTACAAGCCGTTCTGCTTAAATGCACTGAGTACTAGCCCTATTTTGATATTAATAATTTCTCTAAGAGAACTGATCACTTGAAACTGAGTTGTCAGTGATCCATGGTGGGAACAAGCTGAAACTCGACATTCTCAACACAGTACAGCAAAAATGCTAAACTCAATTCATTGAATATCAGATGAAGAGATCTCAGCTGGGTGTCCCTTTGGTCCTCTAAACATAGGTGGTGGCTGGCTGGGTTTCTTTGGAGAATTGAATAGCAAAGTCACTTCTTTTAAAAACCTAAAAAGTGATTATTTCCCATTTACTTGTAGAAAACTGCTCACTGTTAGGTGTTAAATGTTTGGTGTTAGAAGCCTGCATAAATTACCTTACAGGTAAATTGCTTTGGGAACAATCAAAGTTCATGTACGTTCCGTGTAAACACTGAACTCTTAGACTTCCTGTGATAAAGAACATTTATTTGTACCACTGTTGTGCAATGCCTTAGGAGTTTGGGTTCCAGTACAAATGTTCACTCATAGCTGTAAAAACAATGTAAAAAAAAATCACAGATAAATTACAGACCAAGGTTGAGGAATGTTGGACAAGACGATGATGATATTATCAGAGGGAGATGGTTGACAGTTATTCACAATGCAAGGTTGTAAACATATTCTCAAATGAGGGAGTGAGGAAAAGACAACTTTTTTTTTCTTTTTTTTAGAGGAGACTATTTTAAAATAAGGACATTAAGTGGTGTAAAGCTCTTTTTTTGCCTCTTAAAAATAATGGGAAAATGTGATTTCAAAAAAGGCAGTAGACTTTGTACAATTTATGTTGATAGAATGAAAAGCTGTAATTATTAAATGGATCTTACATCTTCATATTTAAAGGGGAAAAAAACTGCAACTATAGGGGAAAGGGAAACACAGAGAATTGTATCTATGGGCTGCCTAAGGTACCATACCACTGAAAAGTTCTGGAAACTACACATCAGGCTAATAGTTTAAGAGAAAACTACTGGTCGTTTATTTCCTCTGCCAGGCACAAATGAAAGCTTCAGTAATTTTAATAAGTTTTCAATGAATATTGAATTTAAATGAATAGTGAATATTGCATTTCTAGCCACTGAATCAGGTCAAATTTTGTATGATGGAGAATAGTTAAGGTGAGGGAACACAATTTCTAACTCGTAACAAATCTAGCATCAACAGAATTTCTGTCAAAATTAGCCTCAATGAAAGCCAATCTTATAGCTTGCAACTGTTGGTGAAATAACTTGTTTGAAAGCATTTGGTAAGTAAAGCAATTTGGAGGCTGTCTTCAGGCAAGAAGCTGTGAGATGTAGGGACGGGACAATGGGGGCTTGATTTCAGTTGTTGTAGTGCCCGAGAGTAGCCTGTGCATTTGTGAGACATTCATAGACTTGCTTCAGTTTATCCAATCTCGGGCCGCTAACATCAATGAAGAAAAGCAGTGTTCAGCCTTACTAAAAAGTCCTTTTTTTTTTAATGTATATATATATATAT